TTTGACACATAATAACAGCATAACGATCTATCTCTTCAAAATTCCTTAGCAGGAAAACTAAGAGGAACATTGATTTGAAGTCAAAATAATAGCTTGCTTGTATCTATTAACGAAATCCATACTATTTATCGATGAATAAATTGTAAGATTTCGTTGTTTAAAACATTTTTACAATGCATTTACATTTATTAAGTAAAAGGTTCATTCCTACCCGCTCATAAATTTAGTTTGTCACGTTTAAATTAAATAAATACTTCAGCGACGAATACATTTTACTAAATGTACATGGTGTGCGAAAATTACATTTTACTTTCCAAATTTTTTTCGTTAATAATTTTTCAATAAACAACAAGCGGCGACTAAAATCTTTTTTTTGTACTCAGGACAATGGCTTTGATAATATATGTCAAGGTTAAGACAATTGAACCTGACTGTTTTATTCAAAACATTTATTAATAAATAAAATAAGAATTATATTTACTCGAATTTATATTTATAACTATTTTCTTAATAACATTTATTAATATTAATAATTTATAAATTAAATATTTTTATACAGTGGAACACAGTGCCGCTGTTGTTTCCGCATATATCAGTGCAATAGAATGTGCAGCATATCGCAACGATACAGACGTCATCGGCACTTACTTTCAATCACATTTTCCTCAGGTAAGATTAAGTATTAAATAAATTTACGCAATTATCTAATTTAAATTTTTACTGTGCTTTAAATACTTCAATATGTTTTTATATAAATAAATTAAAAAATTTTTACTTTTTCTACTCTGTATTCATTAAAATAAATCGAAAAATTTTTTGTTAACAATAATTATTAATCGTTAATTTTATATAGATTTTCTCAAGAATTTCCTACAGTCTCTGGAAAGGAATTTTGATTGAAGTTATAAATATTCTCAGTACATTCTCGTGGAACTTTGTCGATCTCTTTCTTATTCTAATTAGCATAGCTGTAGCAGACCAATTCAGACAATTGAACAGTCGTCTTTATGCGATAAGGGGAAAGGTAAAATATTAAATACTTGAAATAATTGTTTTTATTAACGCTATTAACTCATCACTACTAACAACTCTTAGTATCATTTCGTTGTTAAGGCAATGCCGGACTGGTGGTGGGCTGAGGCTAGAAAGGATTATAATCACTTGGCGACCCTAACGCGCATAGTGGATTCTCACATCTCGAGTATCGTGCTTCTGTCCTTTGCCACCGACTTGTATTTCATCTGCATTCAACTGCTGTTTTCCTTCAAGTATTTTTAATACATACATAATAAATATGATTTTGCTTACGTAATCTAATGTGAGTTGCGTAAATCCCGTATCAGACTACGGATTGGGGATTGACATTGCGAACTAAAGATTGGAATTTGACCAATCAAGACAAAGTAACTTAAAAGTAATACTAACATAATTGGACAATCTTCAATCTTCAATTTTTAATCTCAATCTCCAATGCGTAATCTTATACGAATCTTAATCATCGTCGATTTATGTTGCAATATAAGATGGTAATAATGGAGAGAGGTTCAACTGTCTATATTCCCATTTGCCAACAGTTTCGTTTGCCCACAACATTTTGCCGACAGCTTTAATTGCCGACATTCCCGATTGCCTACAAGCATTATTGCGCACATTTAAAAATTAAAAATACAAACGTACGTTTGCACACGAGACATTATTGCACACATACACATTGCACACATGACATTATTGCGCACATACACATTGCACACATAATTATTGCGCACATTTGAAAATTAAAAATACAAACGTACGTTTGCACACAAGACATTATTGCACACATACACATTGCGCACATGACATTATTGCGCTTTGTGTAGAAACTCGTAAACCCATGTTGAACCTCGCTTTGTTTAAAATTTCACGCGTAGGCGGCGGAGGACTTCGCCCCGTAGGGGCGAAGCCTCTCCCCCGCGTAAAACAAATAACAAATCCTACTCAGGTTATACCTAACAAGGTAAACCTAACAAGGTTAACCAAGGTTCACAAACAAAGTTGTAAACCCATGTTGAACCTCGTTTCGCATGGAAAGAATATGCGCAATAATATTATGTGTGCAATGTGTATGTGTGCAATGTGTATGTGCGCAATAATGTCATTTGTGCAATGTGTATGTGTGCAATAATGTCTTGTGTGAAACGTACGTTTGTATTTTTAATTTTTAAATGTGCGCAATAATATTATGTGTGCAATGTGTATGTGCGCAATAATATTATGTGTGCAATGTGTATGTGCGCAATAATGTCATGTGTGCAATGTGTATGTGCGCAATAATGTCATGTGAGCAATGTGTATGTGTGCAATAATGTCTTGTGTGCAAACGTACGTTTGTTTTTAATTTTTAAATGTGCGCAATAATGCTTGTAGGCAATCGCTCTGTAGGCAATCGGGAATGTCGGCAATTGAAGCTGTCGGCAAAATGTTGTGGGCAAACGAAGCTGTTGGCAAATGGGAATGTAGGCAGTTGAGACCCTCCCGTTACTTTATTGTAAAATGTAACAAAAAACAGATATTATATGTTCAAAGAAATTAACAGCGTTGTAGCATTTGCGAAATAAACATAATAAAAAACATCTATTATTATATATAAATTAAATATAAAATTAAACTAATATTAAAATAACTCCAAAATATGAACGTGCATGTGTAGTATTGCTAAGCTGCTGCAAAATTTATAAAATGTAACGATTTTCCGGCCACCCATTCGATTCTTAGATACTCTGCTTCTGACCAATATCAATAACAAACCATTAAAGAACTGAAAACATCATAAACGAAACAAATAATATAAAAACCAATGCTCGGCGCAAGCTCTAGAGTTCAGTTCACACTGAAGCGGCAAACCAATAAGAGTGTAAGATAATTCGTTGGATAAGATAGAAAATCCAGAAGAACAAAAAGACTTTAATACTAATTGTCAGTGGAAATACTAAAAAATGGAAAAGTAAAGCAGATAAAGTTCATCGTTAACTACACACCGACGAAATGGTATTTATTGACTAAAATGTTCGCCATTTAAAAATAATAAAAAAATAAGCAATGTGCAAAAAAATAGTAGATCTTTTAATAACAAACAAAAATTTATAGACAAATAACAAGAAGAATTTTTACAATACAGTACAATACAGTACAATACAGGACAATACATTACAATACAGGATTTAAAGATGACGAAAGTTGTTTTACGTTTACCTTACATTCTTCTCGGTGTTAAAACAATAATTAATTAACATTCTTCTTTTTCAATAACAATAAATTGTCCACTGTCCACTGTTAGCTTGCTATTATTTCACATCACATTCTCGCATTTCGCCTCAGCACAACACATAAATACAATATTTAATCACTATTACATTACCTTTTATATTATTGAAGGTAGGCTCATATACTGACAGAAACGTTTAATAATTTAATAATTTATATTAACAAAAAAAGAATGTTAATCATTCATTGTTTTCATACCATGAAGAATGTAATACCAGCATTATACGCATTGCGCAAAATCCAAATCCTTTATTTTCTCTTTATTATTAATTTTCTTTATATAATACGAGCCTGTATGTAAATATTAAAAACAATAGAAATTTACTATTTATCACGCAAATTAATGTGATTCCAGAGCGGAGTAAGAAATATGTTAATGAGTGCTGCTGCAATTACGGCGGCCGTCATAGTAGGGTATAAAGTTATTAAATCTAGGAAAAAAAAAAATCTTTGCTCCCACAAACAAACAAGTGAAGAAATAAAAAATAAAAAAAGGCGCGATGTTGACGAAGAATATCCTACTTTACAATCTCCAAATTGGAGAAAAGTTGGTGAAGTATTTGATTTAGCAATATTTCCAGTGAAATCAAGTGAGAGACAATTTTCTTCTAAATCATTCGATTTTCGCGATTATGGAATGTGTGTACACGATATGGAAACATATATTTGGGACGGGTAAGTACAAAATCTTGCATTCTTACTTAAATAGTATCTAAAAATTATAAAATTTTTCGAATCGAAACAAAAAGATTAAACTGGCATAAGGTATTATTGTAAAATTTATTCTACTATGTTCTCAATTAAATTAATTATACGAAAAAATGATTTTCATTACACAATAGACTGAATATAATAAATAATATTCCACATTTATTAGAATGTTTTTAGTATATAACAAAACAACAGGTAAATTTGAAGATAGCAGAAAATACCCTTTATTGGAATCATTGTATGTAGAGCTCACAAACCCTGGCGAATTAACTTTAAGCAGCGTCATATCGTCCAATACAATAACAATGAATATAAATCGAGATCGCAATCCTTTCAATCAATTTCTGAAGGAGATATGGAATAAAACTTTCGGAACATTTTATAGTTCAGATAGAAACGTTAATACATGGTTAAAAAAGTAAGTATCATGTAACCTCTATTAACGCTTATAATTCTTGTATCTGAATAATAAAAAATGCAAATGTAGCAGGATATGTGAGGAGACAAATGAGGATGTAATTTTGGCTCATATGCTTCCACGTAACTGGTATTCGACAGGAAGGATAAAAGACAATTGGTTCCACTTTGTTGATGGGTACGAAGCTATGGAAGAAGATAAAACGGTAATAATTACATAAAATACAATTAATAATTAATAATCATTATTGTAGAAATAAAATTATTAATTTGTATTAGTTTTCGTACGCACAAATTTGTTCGTTACAAAAATAACAAAAACAAAAGACTGAAATAAAAAGCATAAAATACATTTTCTGTTTTTGCTGTATATCTTCAAACATAAGAAATAGAATTACAGTGTGCTTAGTGCCGCGTGCTTAATTGCTAAAATTTAACTAAACAATTGTTACAAACGTTTATGTCTGATTAAAGTATCGAACGTTTTGTGCAGCGATTTTTGAAAAATGATTTGCCACATTTCACCCTTTGCACAGAAAAAGTTTCGAGGTCCACAAACAAAATACAAAAGAGACTGATTCGATACATCTTGCGGAAGATACTTTTAAACTCAATAAATCTTATGAAACAAATGTGTCCCAATTCTTTTTTTGCATCAAAAAACTTTTCTGTATCACCCACAAAATTCAGTCGTATAATAAAGTTTCTGTTATGTGTCATTATCCTTTTTAGTATAGCAAGAATGAATTTTAAGTGATCTAGGGTGGTTTCACGTGTGTAAGAATGACCGATACGATACACTCTTCTTCCGTAGAGACTGTATCGTATTGGTCTCTTTTGTATTTCGCATAAAGACCTAGGAACTTCCTCTATGCAAAAGGTAAAAAGCGACAAATCATTTTTCAGAAATCACTCTAGGAATGTTTCAAATTTCAACCAACTAAATTTATTACCTTTCTTACTGTTAATTTTCGAAAAAAAAAAACACATTCACTAAGAAATTGCTCAACTGATCTCTACATTTTAATTAATTAATTGATTTCTCTGACATAAATATGAACTAATATAAACTCGTGTAATATAAATAATTTGTTGCCAGAAATGTTGCAAGAAATTATTCTTTTAGCATTAAAAAGCAATTAAAAAGTGACACATTGACATTAGGGTTGTTAAGTTTGTTTGGATCAATACATCATTTTAATACATTTAAAAACAAAAAAAATTTTCACAAAATAACTTCATATTATTTTAGGGAAAATTCATAACTTTACCACGTTTTATACTGATGACATTAAAGACGCAATTAGAGGTACTTGAAAACAATGAAAATGTGACGGCAAATATTATAGTTTACACTGACGATGAATCGATAAATCCTTTTATAGAGAAAACCTGGAATTGGATAAAAGTCGGTGACAATGTAATTCTCAGAAAAGTCAAACCAGTTCCGAGGTATTTGCACGCACTTATATACTTAATTCTATCTTTATTTTTACAGCTATGCTTTATGTATTTTTATTATCGAATTTCTAATTAAAGAGTTCAAAATATTAGTATTTATCATGGTTATCAAAAGTTTGACCAATTCTGTAAAAAAACATAGTCTGCTTAATAATTTCTAATCATTATTTTCAAAATTTTATTAATTTTTAAATTTTGACATATTTTCGTTAAACAGTCGTACTTGTTATTTTTCTATTTAATAAAATGTATTTTCAAATATTGCTATATATTCAATTTATTTCATTTTATTCGTGATACTATTTTCACAATAATTCTTTACGCACTGATTCTTTTCAGTACTTATTATTTTACTTATAAATTAGTTAAACATATGTTTTATATTCTCGGTTCAGTGCTGATAAAACAATCCAACATTGTGGAATTTATTGTGCTTTATGGTCTGGTGGGAACGTAAAGGTGAACGATGAAGTATATATTTACTGTTCTGATATATAACACAAGTGTAAAAAGAATATTGTTTGAACAAATACTGTTTCGTTGTCATAATAAGCGTTTGAGCTAATTTTACTTTATTGACTTTTATACAAATATGTGTAGATAAATAATTTAGTGCCTTCAAAGTCTGTAAGTGATACACAAAAATGGATATTTTACCGATATTAACATTATTTTATTCTTTCTAGTGATTCATAACATTTAATTTTCTCATAACTTGTTTATTATCTTTTTTTTAATGACAGGTTACTTTCTTCGTAACTAAAAAATATATTATTATTCATTACGTATCATTTATAACATATTCCGATTAATTTAATAAACATAAATTTAAAATTACATTTAAATTTTAACTTAAAATTTAAAATAATTTTAAATTGTTAAAAAATAAGTTTTTGGGATCATTAAAAAAAATTTGATAAATGAAAGTATAAAAATACTATCATAACAATTAAAAAATGAAACTGATAAAAAATTCGAGGTACAATTTTTATAATTACCAAAAGATATAAATGTTATACATGTATGCATTACACTTTAATTTTTGAATATAATGCCAATATATGTATAACAGAAACGAGAGATTCATGTATATATGTATGTTTATAACATATCATGTGTGTCATTGATTATAAAAGTAAATTACGTCCAAAAACTTGTAGCAAAGTAGCTAAAAGTAGAAAAATTCTATGCTTTGTTTAAAATAATTAAAATATTTATTTTAAATTTATTTTAAACATAATACTAGTGATATCTTCAAGTTTTTTGGTGAATTTATTTACAAGTTTTACTTATTTTCTCATTTCTCTTTAATAAATCATCGAATTTTTGAGTTTTTCTAATCATTATCGTCTTAAACTAATTATTATTATAGAAATTAGAGATATTTGAAAATGTGCAAATTAGATTTAAATTCAGCAAGATTCTATCTCAATAAAACAAGATTACTGTAAAATATTAAGATTTATCACACTATCCCGCTATGCAATTAGAAATTTTTGACTTCAGTTTTCTTGATTTGTAAAAGCGATAATAAGTCTTACTTTATTGTAAAATGTAATGAAAAATACGTATTATATGTTCAAAAAAGT